CAGTGTCACTCACTGTTGATGTCCCCAGTGTCCCCAGTGTCCCCAGTGTCACCTGGTTGTCCAGGCGCAGCTCGCTCAGGGTGGGGCACTGGCCCACGGCCCCCAGCAGCCGCAGGACGCCGGCGCTGCTGATGAAGTTGGACTCGAGGTTGAGGCTCTGCAGGCTCCGGTTGTGCTCCAGCATCTCGGCCACCGCCTGGGGACAACACGGGGACACACAGTGACACCGCAGGGACACACAGGGACACCGCAGGGACACCGCAGGGACACCTAAATGGCCCCAAAGTGGCCCCAAAGTGACACCAAAGTGGGCCCAGAGTGACACCTGAGGGACACACAGTGACACCTGAGGGACACACAGTGACACCGGGTGACACCGCAGTGACACCGCAGTGACACCTGAGGGACACACAGTGACACCTGAGTGACACCGCAGTGACACCAGGGTGGCACTGTAGGGACACTGCCCTTGGTGTCCCAGGAATGTGGGGACAGGCACGGGGTGGGGACTGTCCCCAACCTGGCTGGGGACACCGGGGACAGCGGCAGGGACTGTCCCCAAACTCCCCAGGGACATCTGGGGACCTTTAGGGACACGGGGCAGGGACTGCCACCAAACGTGGAGGGACATTTGGGGACACAGGGGTGGCACCATCCCCAAAGCCATGTGGGGACATTTGGGGACACAGGGGTGGCGCTGTCCCCGAAGCCATGTGGGGACATTTGGGGACACAGGGGTGGCGCTGTCCCTAAAGCCACGTGGGGACATTTGGGGACACCATTCAGAGACACCCAGGGACACCCGGTGACAGCATTTGGGGACATTTGGGGACATTTGGGGACTCACGTTGGCCACGAGGTCGTTGCTGCGCGTGGCCACCAGGCTGAGGCTGCGCACGTGGGTGTTGGTCCTGATGGCCCCGCAGATGGCCTCGAGCGTGGGGACAGGGATGTCCTGGGGACACCAGGGGACACCAGGGGACATGAGGGGACACCAGGGGACATGAGGGGACACGGGGGGACAGGGATGTCCTGGGGACACCAGGGGACAAGGACCACCCCCTTGGGGACACCTTGGGGACACCCTGGGGACTCTTTGGGGACACTCTGGGGACACCCTGGGGACATTGTGGGACAAGGATCACCCCTGGGGACACCCCAGGATAGGACCCAACACCCTGGGGACACTCTGGGGACACCCTGGGGACATTGTGGGACAAGGATCACCCCTGGGGACACCCCAGGATAGGACCCAACACCCTGGGGACACTCTGGGGACACCCTGGGGACATTGTGGGACAAGGATCACCCCTGGGGACACCCCAGGATAGGACCCAACACCCTGGGGACACTCTGGGGACACCCTGGGGACACTCTGGGGACACCTTGGGGACACCTTGGGGACACTTTGGGGACACTTTGGGGACACCTTGGGGACAGTGTCACCTTGATGTTGTTGAGGTTGACGTCCAGCAGCGCGGGGTCGTTCTCCTGCAGCCGCCGCAGAGTCTCGGCCACGTCCGTGGGGTTCGGCGGCTCGTCCGGAACCGGCCGGTACCGGTCCGGCTGTACCACACCTGGGACAGCGTGGGGACATGGGGACACCGCGGGGACATGGGGACACCGCGGGGACATGGGGACAGCGTGGGAACATGGGGACAGCGTGGGGACACGGGGACAGCGTGGGGACATGGGGACAGCGTGGGGACACAGGGACAGTGCGGGGATCAGGGGCTTGTCCGGAACCGGCCGGTACCGGTCCGGCTGTACCACACCTGGGACAGCGTGGGGACACGGGGACAGCGTGGGGACATGGGGACACCGCGGGGACATGGGGACAGCGTGGGGACACGGGGACAGCGTGGGGACATGGGGACACCGCGGGGACATGGGGACAGCGTGGGGACACGGGGACAGCGTGGGGACATGGGGACACCGCGGGGACATGGGGACAGCGTGGGGACACGGGGACAGCGTGGGGACATGGGGACACCGCGGGGACATGGGGACAGCGTGGGGACACGGGGACAGCGTGGGGACATGGGGACACCGCGGGGACATGGGGACAGCGTGGGGACACGGGGACAGCGTGGGGACATGGGGACACCGCGGGGACATGGGGACAGCGTGGGGACACGGGGACAGCGTGGGGACATGGGGACACCGCGGGGACATGGGGACAGCGTGGGGACACGGGGACAGCGTGGGGACATGGGGACACCGCGGGGACATGGGGACAGCGTGGGGACACGGGGACAGCGTGGGGACATGGGGACACCGCGGGGACATGGGGACAGCGTGGGGACACGGGGACAGCGTGGGGACATGGGGACACCGCGGGGACATGGGGACAGCGTGGGGACACGGGGACAGCGTGGGGACATGGGGACACCGCGGGGACATGGGGACAGCGTGGGGACACGGGGACAGCGTGGGGACATGGGGACACCGCGGGGACATGGGGACAGCGTGGGGACACGGGGACAGCGTGGGGACATGGGGACACCGCGGGGACATGGGGACAGCGTGGGGACACGGGGACAGCGTGGGGACATGGGGACAGTGTGGGGACAGCGTGGGGACAGGGGGACACCGTGGGGACAGTGTGGGGACACCGTGGAGACACGGGGACAGCGCTCAGGGACAGGGGGACACACGAGTTTGGTCCTCAAACCCCTCCCCAACCTCCCCGTGGGGCCGTTTGTGTCCCTGTCCCTGTCCCTGTCCCTGTCCCTGTCCCGGTCACTCACTGTTGATGTCACCAATGTCCCCAGTGTCCCCAGTGGTGTCCCCAGTGTCCCCAGTGTCCCCAGTGTCACTCACTGTTGATGCCCTCGGTGTTGCAGATGTCCCCACTGCAGATGGCATCGTAGTACTGCTTGTTACTCATCAGCGTGTACATGCCCAGGATGGCTGTGGGGACAGCAGGGGACAGCAGGGTGACACAGGGGACAGCAGGGGACAGTGAGGGACATCAGGGACAGTGGGGACAGCAGGGGACAGCAGGGTGACACAGGGGACAGCAGGGGACAGCAGGGGGACACAGGGGACAGCAGGGGACAGTGAGGGACATCAGGGGACATCAGGGGACATCGGGGGGACATGGGGACATTGGGGGGACATCAGGGGACATCGGGGGGACATGGGGACATTGGGGGGACAGCAGGGGACATCGGGGGGACATGGGGACATTGGGGGGACAGCAGGGAGGGGAACACCCAGTGTGGCACTGGAGCTGTGTGTGTGACACACAGGTGTGTGACACAGGGACAGATGTGGCACCCAGGTGTGACAGATGTGTGACAGGTGTGTGACAGTGACAGGTGTGTGACAGTGACACAGGTGTGTGACAGTGACACCCAGGTGTGACAGGTGTGACACGGGTGTGGCACTCAGGTGTGTGACAGTGACAGGTGTGACAGGTGTGACACGGGTGTGGCACTCAGGTGTGTGACAGTGACATTCAGGTGTGTGACAGTGACACCCAGGTGTGTGACAGTGACACCCAGGTGTGACAGTGACACTCGGGTGTGTGACAGTGACACTCAGGTGTGTGACAGTGACACCCAGGTGTGACAGTGACACTCGGGTGTGTGACAGTGACACCCAGGTGTGACAGTGACACTCAGGTGTGACACAGGTGTGGCACCCGGTGTTACCCTGGGCCGAGGCCCCTCCTGCCGCCGCTCCCGGCCCCGTGCGGATCCCGGCCTGCAGAGCCCGGCCTCGTTCCGTCCCACGGGATCCCACGGGAATCCCAGGGGAATCCCACGGGAATCCCACGCCAATCCCAGGGGAATCCCACGGGAATCCCATCCCAATCCCATCCCAATCCCATCCCAATCCCAGGGGAATCCCACGGGAATCCCATCCCAATCCCATCCCAATCCCATCCCAATCCCATCCCAATCCCATCCCAATCCCATCCCCATCCCAGGGGAATCCCATGGAAATCCTGTCCCATCCTTTACAGATCCCACCCCGATTCCAACCCCATCCATGTCCCCAATCCCATTCCCATCCCCAATCCCGACCCCAATCCCATTCCTGATCCCATTCCCGATCCCGTTCCCGTTCCCGTTCCCGATCCCGATCCCGTGCCCACAGTCCCGATCCCGATCCCGTGCCCACAGTCCCGATCCCGATCCCGTGCCCACAGTCCCGATCCCGATCCCGTGCCCACAGTCCCGATCCCGATCCCGTGCCCACAGTCCCGATCCCGATCCCGTGCCCACAGTCCCGATCCCGATCCCGTGCCCACAGTCCCGATCCCGATCCCGTGCCCACAGTCCCGATCCCGATCCCGTGCCCACAGTCCCGATCCCGATCCCGTGCCCACAGTCCCGATCCCGATCCCGTGCCCACAGTCCCGATCCCGATCCCGTGCCCACAGTCCCGATCCCGATCCCGTGCCCACAGTCCCGATCCCGATCCCGTGCCCACAGTCCCGATCCCGATCCCGTGCCCACAGTCCCGATCCCGATCCCGTGCCCACAGTCCCGATCCCGATCCCGTGCCCACAGTCCCGATCCCGATCCCGTGCCCACAGTCCCGATCCCGATCCCGTGCCCACAGTCCCGATCCCGATCCCGTGCCCACAGTCCCGATCCCGATCCCGTGCCCACAGTCCCGATCCCGATCCCGTGCCCACAGTCCCGATCCCGATCCCGTGCCCACAGTCCCGATCCCGATCCCGTGCCCACAGTCCCGATCCCGATCCCGTGCCCACAGTCCCGATCCCGATCCCGTGCCCACAGTCCCGATCCCGATCCCGTGCCCACAGTCCCGATCCCGATCCCGTGCCCACAGTCCCGATCCCGATCCCGTGCCCACAGTCCCGATCCCGATCCCGTGCCCACAGTCCCGATCCCGATCCCGTGCCCACAGTCCCGATCCCGATCCCGTGCCCACAGTCCCGATCCCGATCCCGTGCCCACAGTCCCGATCCCGATCCCGTGCCCACAGTCCCGATCCCGATCCCGTGCCCACAGTCCCGATCCCGATCCCGTGCCCACAGTCCCGATCCCGATCCCGTGCCCACAGTCCCGATCCCGATCCCGTGCCCACAGTCCCGATCCCGATCCCGTGCCCACAGTCCCGATCCCGATCCCGTGCCCACAGTCCCGATCCCGATCCCGTGCCCACAGTCCCGATCCCGATCCCGTGCCCACAGTCCCGATCCCGATCCCGTGCCCACAGTCCCGATCCCGATCCCGTGCCCACAGTCCCGATCCCGATCCCGTGCCCACAGTCCCGATCCCGATCCCGTGCCCACAGTCCCGATCCCGATCCCGTTCCCACCGGCCAGGTCGCACATCTCGGCCTCGGTGGCGTTGGCCAGCGCCTCCTCCAGCTCCGGCTCCAGCGTCACCTGCTCCTCCCGCGGCAGCTCCGGCCCCCGCGCCTTGGGGAC